GCTGCTGTTGCCTCTAAGGGTTCTTCTGCTCCTTTTTTCTCTATGGATGATGTTGAGTCCATTATCCACCAGGTGCTCAACAAATCGGGTACTCCTCCATCTACTGCTCTTTCAGTAACCTCAGGTAACTCTTCATGGTATTTTGATTCCGCATGCTGTAAGCACATGACTTCTGACTCCACTCTATTTTCTTCTTTGTCATCATCCTTTTCTGCTCCCATTATACGCACTGCGGATGGTTCTCGTATGCCTGTTAGTTATATTGGCCAAATCTCTACTTCCACTGTGTCTCTTTTTGATGCTTACCATATTCCTTCTCTTAAGCTGAACCTTATCTCTGTTGGTCAGTTATGTGACCTTGGCCTAACTATTACCTTTTCTACTAATGGTTGTCTGGTGCAGGACCCGCAAATGAGACAGATCCTTGGGATAGGCCGTAAGCATAGACGCCTGTTCGAGTTTATCCATCTTCACAGTCCGCACAAATCATCTCATGTTACTGCTGCATCTACTATGTCTCCTTTTCATCTTTGGCATTGTCGCTTAGGACATGTCTCTTTTAGTCGTTTAAAAAATTTAGTTTCTAGTGGTCAGTTAGGTCGTGTCTGTCTTGACGATGTCGATTGTTTATCTTGTCAAATTGCTAAACAACCTGCATTACCTTTTAATAAAAGTAATTCTATTTCTACTGCTCCTTTTGATCTTGTGCATTCAGATATTTGGGGACCTTCCCCTACACCTACCATAGGGGGGGTCTAGATATTTTGTGACTTTTGTTGATGATTTTTCTCGCTATACTTGGCTTTTTCTTCTCAAAAATCGCTCTGAACTTAAACAGATTTACTATGATTTCTCTACTATGGTCCACACTCAGTTTTCTTGTACTATTAAGCTTTTTCGTTCTGATAATGCTAAGGAATACTTGGATTCTGATTTTCTTTCTTTTCTTCGAGCTCATGGTACTCTTTCTCATCGATCTTGTGCAAGCACTTCCCAACAAAATGGACGAACTGAAAAAAAGCACCGTCATATTCTAGACACTACTCGGGCTCTTCTCCTTTCTTCTTCTTGTCCTGAAAAATTTGGGGGGGAAGCTGCCCTCACTGCCATCCATACCATCAATCGAGTCCCTACCCCTGTCATAGCTAACACAACTCCTTATGAGCGTTTGTATGGTTCTCCTCCTGATTATACCACTCTAAAGTTTTTAGTTCTGCTTGTTTTGTTCTACTTCAACCTCATAAACACACTAAACTAGAACCTCGTTCTCGTCTTTGTTGTTTTCTGGGGTATGGTATCGAACATAAAGGGTATCGTTGTTGGGATCCTATCTCCAAGCGTCTTCGTATTTCTCGTCATGTGGCCTTCTGGGAACACAAAATGTTCTCTACTCCTTCCAAGTTTCACCTACCACAGTCCACCCACTCACCGGTCTTCACTGATATTTCTCTAGATTTGTTTTCTGATGACTTAGATGCAGATTCTAGCCCCATGCTTCCACAGCTGCCTACGCCTATCGTCCATCCTGAGGATCTTGTGTCAGCTGATGGTCCTACGCCTTCTCCGGCTCCGGTGGAGGTTCCTCCGGCATTTATTTCCATTGAGGTTCCTCTTGAGCATCATTCTACCCGGGTAAGGAAACCTTCTGTTCTTCTTTGTGATTATACTGTTGGCTCCACTACTTTTTGCTCTCATGAACCTACATCTTATCAATAAGCTTCTTCTAACCCTCTTTGACAACAAGCTATGACTGATGAACTGCAGGCTTTCGATCAAACTCATACCTGGGATGTGGTTGATCTTCCTCCTGGCAAGCGTACTGTTAGTTGCAAATGGGTTTACAAGATCAAAACTCATTCTGATGGTTCCATTGAGCGCTACAAAGCTTGCCTTGTCGCCCGGGGATTTAGTCAAGAATATGGGATTGACTATGAGGAAACATTTGCGCCTGTTGCCCGTCTTACTTCAGTTCGCAGCTTACTTGCCGTTACTGCTGCTCGCCACTGGAACCTTTCTCAGATGGATGTCAAGAATGCATTTCTCAATGGTGATCTCACTGAGGAAGTTTATATGCAACCTCCTCCTGGTTCTTTTGTTCCCTCAAACAAGGTTTGCAAACTCCGCCGTGCTTTATATGGTTTGAAACAAGCTTCACGTGCCTGGTTTGCCAAGTTCAGCTCTACCATTCGTGACTTTGGTTTTTCTTCCAGTGCCCATGATTCTGCCTTGTTTATCCGTAAGACGGAGCGCGGTACTATTCTCCTTCTCCTCTATGTGGATGATATGATTATCACTAGAGATGACACAGTGGGTATTTTTACTCTCAAACAGTTTCTCCATCGCCAGTTTGAGATGAAAGATTTGGGTGCACTTAGCTACTTCCTTGGCTTGGAAATTTCTCAAGATTCCTCTGGTTATTTTCTTACTCAGGCCAAGTATACTTCTGATCTTTTGGCTTGTGCTAATCTTTCCGATTGCAAGACTATCACTACTCCAGTTGATCCTCAGACTCGCCTTACACCTCTTGACAGACCCCTATTGCCAGATGCAACTTTATATCGTCAGTTAGTTGCTAGTCTTGTCTATCTCACAGTTACTCGTCTAGATATTGCTTATGCTGTTCACATTGTCAGTCAATTTATGACTGCTCCTCGCTCTCCACACTATGCCGCTCTGGTTCGCATTTTGCGCTATCTCAAAGGAACTTTGTTTCATGGTCTTCACTATTCCCCTTACTCTTCTCTACAGCTGCATGCCTTTTCTGATGCTGATTGGGGAGGGGATCCTACCGATCGTCGTTCCGCTACCGGGTTCTGCTTCTTCTTGGGCACCTCTCTTATTTGCTGGCGTAGCAAGAAGCAAACCCTTGTTGCTCGTTCTAGTACCGAGGCAGAGTATCGTGCTCTTGCAGACACTATTCAGGAGCTTGTGTGGCTTCGTTGGCTTCTTTCTGACATGGGTGTTTCTCATTCAGCTGCCACTAATCTTTATTGTGACAATCAAAGTGCTATTCAGATTGCCCATAACGATGTCTTCCATGATCGCACCAAGCATATTGAGATCGATTTCCACTTCATACGACAGTATGTTACTAGTGGCCATGTTCGTCTTCTCTTTGTTACCTCTGCTGATTAGACCGCCGACCTCTTCACCAAAGCTCATCTTCCAGGCCGCTTTTCTGATCTCCTCTCCAAACTCAAATTGATATCTGACTTACCACCTTGAGATTGAGGGGGGGGGGGTGTTAGTTTTATATTATTATAGATGTATCTTATTTATTTGTATTGTATCTCTCTCAATCTCTATCTCCTTCTATGCTTATCTCTATGTTTTATGTACCTATCTAGGTTTACTTTCTGCCTATATATACAGGCTTCTCCTATTGTATTATTCATTCAATTCAATATAGATTTTCTTCTTTTTCTTCCCTCACTACTTTCATAACAGTGTAATTAAAAAGTACAATAAAATTTGGGATGATTGGGGTTGGGTTGATTTGGCTTCTCTAGAATTTTTTTCATAGTTCTAATGTGGATCCTCTTCTGGGATGGGTGGATGGATGGATACTCATGAATTATGATCATGGTGGGATCTGTGCAAAGTGGTGTTAGTGACTCTTGTGATGGGGTGAACAAGATTCTCATGATTTCATCCAAGAAAGAAGATTTTGAATTGGCCATTGGGCTGCCCCTTTTTTCTTAGTATTTTCTTTTCTCTGATGCAAGAAACCAAACAGGTAATAGCAAAAATCATATCCCCTTTCATCTAATAAAATCAATGTAATTTACCCATAAAAATTGTATAACTACTTAGTTTATTCGCACCAAAATTAAATGAAATAATTCTCACCATACCTCACCAAATTCATAAACCAAACATCACCTTTTCTTCATTTCTTTCCATATCACTCCATATAGAGGGTAAGATTCACAGAACAAAATTTCGTTATAACTAATTACAAATTGAGAAGAAATAGGAACCTAAAATTTTATACTGGAAACTAGAAGCGCAATGGGGGAGCAGTAGCAGTGTGAGAGAGCAACTAAGATAGCAAAACCCATTTAGCTATTAAAGGATATTAATGTGACCAAACGTACAAAGATCTATTGGACACATAAAATTCAGATCTTTAACAGAATCAACATTTGACTTAAAACTAAACAGAGAGTGAAGAAGAAGAATAACCCAAAAACACAACATAAAATTGCAATAGAAGATTAAGATGGTGCTTGGATAGATGGATTTGAAACGTAGGGAATTGAGGTCTAATTTTATAAAAAAAGATAAGAGAGCTGGTTATTATGGATAAATTATGAACTTTAAGGAGGAATATAGCGTAAATTAGGTAGCGAATTATATTACTAATACTGTACATTGTGGTGCATCTTATTCTTAGCCAATGTAAAAAATTTATTGTCAAGTTTCCATAAGCCAAGCATTGCGAGGCATGTGTGTGGAGACAAAGATGACGGTGTTATTATTAATGTTTGCTTGAAGAATTTGTGTTGATTTAAGTATGTAATTCCCAGGCGCAGGGTCAATACATTTGGTTGCTGGTTTAAAGAGGAAGCTTGGACACTGTCGGAGGCTCGGGCTTAGTTTTGAAGTTATTCAATTTTTTTTTTTTTAATTCCACATATAGTTTCTATATAAAGTACATTTTTAACCAAATTTATTCATTTTTTATAACTGCAGTTTTTCTAATATATTCATTGAAGCCTTTCAAAAAAATGAGAAGAAATTGGGTAGTTTGGAGAAGTGAGAAGAAGATAAGAGGTTTCTTTCTGGTGATTGGGAAGTTATTGGTGGTGACGGTAGTGCTTAGTTGTTCAGCCGTGGGTGATCTTAAAATGTATGCAGTCAAAGAATATGTGACATGTGTAGAGGAAGTTGTTGCCGAAGCAAGTGGAGGACAAATTGGGTAGTTTGGAGGTTCATTTATTATTATTATTTTTTTTATTTTTTTTTTCTTTTTCTGGTTTCACATTTGACCAACTGTATAAAAGAGTGATGATAATTATTACAAAATAATGAATTTGGAAGACATTGCAATGACCAATTGAAGCTACATCTTTCAACTTTGATGTCGTTAGCGGTGCTACAATTGGGATAGGTATGTTGTTATTGGCATTAATTACTATCCGACATATGCATAGATGCCATCATATGAACAATGTGTGTTCATGAGTTACCCCTCTTTTGGCTGCCGTAGTGTTATCGTCTCTTATCAAAAGAACAAAACTAACACGTGAGGTTGTTTTGTCAAGAAAGCTTCAGATTTTGATCGTTGGCTACTGATCGATCATGAGAAATAAGTGAGGCAGGATGATGGGACAATTTATTGATTTGCTAGAAAGTCATTTGAGTTCTGCACTTGTCAAAAAGAAAAAAATAAAAAGTGATTGGCATATTGACATGGTAGTCTGAGCATATCTCATACCTGATGATGTGAACCACTTTTTGCAATTAATGAGAGATGTGAAGTTTTCATTTTCTGTATGTTCTTTTGTGGAAATTAAGATTCCATATTGCCAAAACGGAAAAATAAATTGTTGATTTATTTTATTTTATTTTGTGTTGGCTGGCTTTGTATATTACATAGATTTGAGTAGGGGTGGTTTGGGATGATCTAAATAAGTCCACTTTTTGACTTTTTGTGAAATATGGATTGGGTATGAGTTGGGTTTGAAGTGATGTAATAGAGAAGTGATGTGACTTAAATAAGATGATGTGGCTTAAATAAAATAGTGACTTTTTGATTTTTTTAGAATATCCCAAACAAGGCCTAAACTTATAATTAACAGTGTGGTTTTGAAGTGTTTTGATGCCATATTTCATGCTCACAACTTCAGTTTGCTTATGTGGCTTCACTAGGAAAGTCCCAATTGGGCTGCATGGATTGATGCATTTTGTTGGAGGTAAATATGTTGAAAGTACCTAACAATATTGTTTGTGAGTTTCCTTGAGGAATTTCTTCTTTAAAATTTAATTTATCATAAGATCGTTCTAAGATTTGTCTAATCTTATCACGATGATCCTCAACTCGATTTTGGATTAACATAAAAATTGATTTTTTGTGCATCTTCTAAGTTGATAGAGAGGCTGGTGGTAAGCTTGTTTAGATTTGGCTACTTTCAGTCATGTAGTGTAGTAGGTCTGTGTTGTTTTCTGCAGTATTCTTTTGTTTATCTCTTGATGCAGCAGATTCTTGATCGAGTATAGACAAAGAATAATAAAGGAGGAGAAGGGGCTTGAGTTCTATTTACGCAAATGTCATGGAAGATAAGGTAATGGTTTTGATTCTGACATATTAATCATTAGCATGCTAATAAAACGTATGATAGAATGCATTATGTCCATGTGTAAATGTGAAATTAAAGATAATAATGTCAAACTTCTTTATTATTGTTTATTATTTATGCTATGAATACTACAGGCTTTGGTGCTTCAAGGGATGAAGAGAAGGCAACTGTGTGAAACCTTTTTTTTTCCTTGTAGATGTGAGTTGGTGATGATGACGATTTTGCTCCTCCAATATCCATATATACATTAATGCAATATGTGAATGTATAGTTCTTAGCAAGCAAATTCTTGACCCACTACACTGACATATTTTTCTTGTATTTTATCAATAATTAATCATACTTGTATTTTTTGTGTATACATAGCCCATGAGCATGACTATTCTTGGTGTGGATGAGTTTCATTTATCTAAAAAATTAAGAAAAATAAAGTAACGACTACTAATTTAATCTTAATAGACTCTATTGCGACCCAACGTGCTCCACGCATGGGTCCAACTAGTGTATGTTAAGTATAAAGTCAACACAAAAGTTAACAAAATTATGAATATAACAAACACCACAACTAGGTGGGTTCATTCCATCTCTCTAAAATAAAATCAGAAATAAAGAAGAAAAAAAAAAAAAACCTTAGATCACAGATTAAGGCTTTTTTGTTTTTGTGGTCTGGCACTCAACGAAGCTTGTTGTCAAACAATTTTGATTTGAAGTTTGATCAACTCTCTGACTATCCAAGTCTCTCCAAGAGCTCCCACTCTCCTTAACTGCTTCCACTGCCTGGTCTTTCAGTTCCTTTGCTCTCACCTTCTGGACACTTGTGTCTCCACTCATTGAATTAGCAATGGTCTGAGCCAACTCAGTCGAGTCAGGGACCGCATCGGCACCCTCGCACACACGGACCCCAGCTCCTATGTCCTCCACCAACAGCCTTGCGTTCACAAATTGGTCTGCTTCCATGGGCCACGCCAATATCATCACCCCAGCCATTATTCCCTCCAACACCGAGTTCCACCCGCAGTGGCTCAAAAACCCACTCACAGCTCGGTGACTCAGTATCGACATCTGTGGAGCCCACCCCTTTAACACCATACCCCTTCCCAACACCCGATCCTCAAATCCATCGGGTACAAACCCGTACCCGTCCTCTATTTGTTGGGCTGTCACTGACTTGACCACCCAAACGAACCGGATCTTGCAATGCTCAAGCCCAGCAGCCAAGGCTTCCATTTGGTCCCTCTTCAGCAACTTCTGACTCCCAAAGCAAACATACAAAACTGACCCATCCGGGCAGCCATCGAGCCATGTCAACACCCCGTCTCCGGAATCCTTATCCGGGTTGACCCGACCCATGGTTTCAGCCCCACCAGCCAAACTAAGAGGCCCAACTCCCCAAACCCGTTGATGGCCCATTTTCTTCTTCAAGTGATCCAAATACTCACCTTCCAAGGCATCAAGAGAATTAAAAACGCAGCCCCAACTGGCTATATTAGCGAGCATGCCATCCTTAAGAAACTCCCCATCAGGATCCGATTCCCTATATACTCGGTATATAGAAGGAAGATGGTCCGCAGTGAAACTCGGCGATCTTGGTAGATCGGGAAAATGAACGACGGGTAAAGAACGGACAGTGTTGATATTTTGCCAAATGAAATTAGAGACAGAGGCTAAAAAAGAGCCAGATGAGTAAAAAACGATCCTGGGGATACCAAGTTGGTGCGCAAGGTGTAGCGTCCAGCCAAGGAAGAAATCAGAGAGGATGGCCACAGGGGGAGATGGGTGAGAGTTGAACCAGTGGATTATTGGATCGTGAAGCTTGCCGAGGGCGTTGATGATGGGTAAGTTGCCGGCGTTGCCGATGTCCTTGACGTTCTCGACGCCAGAGGGGAGAAAGGGGTGGGGTGGGAAGGGAAGGACCAGGGTCTGGATTGAAGATGGGTGGTGGGTTGAGAGGAGAGGGTTCAGGGTTGGGAGGTTCTTTGGTGTCACCAGAATGGTTATCGTGATGCCACGGAGGGCTAGTTGGTGGGTTAGGTCCAGCATTGGTAACATGTGGCCTTGAGCTGGGTATGGAAATATCAGGATGTGAACACCTTTGATGGAGTTCAACATGGTTTTTTTGTTTTTTCTTTTCTTCTCGTTTGAGAGAGAGAGAGAGAGAGAGAGAGAGAGAGATACTTGGTCAGGATCAGCAGTGCAGTATGCTGAAGACGATCGGTAATACTAAAAGGTTGAAGGTAAAAATATCGACGTTTGAGTTAATTTTTTTTATTTTTTATAAAAAAATTATATTAAAAAATTGTATAAATGAGTGTATAGGAGAAAATTAGGATTGAGAATTGTGCAGTCGTACTTTTTGATTTTTTGCTGAATAGTGATAACTTTTTAACTTTTTGAGTAATTTTTTGGCTTTTTAATTTTTTTTCAACTTGCCAAACTTGGCCTAATTCGTTGTTGGAAAATGTTTGGTAATTCAAAATTATGTGGCTCAAATGGCTCAAATTTGTCAAAACGTTATCGTTTTACACTCATTTACACTCAAAACGACGTCGTTTTAAATGATTTGAGTCATTTGAGTCACAAATTTGTAAACTACATAACATTGTTGTTCTTTGTTTTTACAAATTGTCATTTGGAACGTGGTTTATAAATTGTTTATGATTTATTTGCGTGATATTCAGTGTGTTTGGTTTGCGTGATATTTATTTGTGTGATATTTGGTGTGTTTGATTTAAGTTTTTTAAATTAAATTTTTTAAAAATTGAGTTTTTTTTATTTTCGTGTTTTTTGTTTTTAGTGGATATTTTTAAAGTTTTAAACATTTTTTTTATTTTTTTAGATGCACCTTACTTAGATATATCTAAAAAATAAAAAATTTGTGAAAAAATATTTTAAAAAATTAATAAGTACATAAAAATACAAAAAATGTGCTGAATTCTTGTATTTTTTTTATTTTTATATTTTTGGTATTTAGTGAATTTTTAAAAGATTTTTTTATATTTTTTTTACTTTTTAGGTGTATTTATGTTAGGTGTGTCTAATTTGCACATCTTTTAGTAAAAAGTCAAAAAGTCATCCCAAACATACTAATTTTTTTTAGCTCATATTTTAGCCAAATAGCCAAAAAGTTACTAAATTAATCTGTTCCCAAACGAGGCCTTAGACCTTATTTGTTATAATTTAAAAAAGTCAAAAAGTTACTATCATATTTAAGTTACATTATCTTATTTAAGTCACATCACCTCTCTATCACATCACTTTAAACTCAACTCATATTTCATAAAAAGTAAAAAAATATACTTATTTAAATTATCTCCAACCACCTTTTAATGTAAAAAAGTCTTGCTGTAACATAAGTAAAAAAATTAAATTAAATTAAAAATTAAACCATACAAGACATTACTTATTAAATTTAATATATTTTTATTGAAATTAATATTATTTTTAATTTTTTTACATATTTTTAATACACATTTTACACACTTTTTAACATTAAACAATACACTTGTTAACATTTATCATATAAAAATACACAATATGCCTGTGTTTGGCAAGTGGGTTTGTAGGCTTTTTTGGCTATTTTAGCCACAAAAAACAAAATAGGCTATTTTAGCCATAACAAACAAAACATCACATCTAACCCATAATCATTACATTATTCTCTCACAAAAAAACTCAAAAAAGTCAAAAAGCCAAAAAGTTCTTCCCAAACCAAGCTTTTAAGCCCAGGCTAAAATAGCCAAAAAAGCCAAAAAGCCAAAAAGCCAACCCACTTCCCAAACCAAGCCTATATAATTGTTTGTGTTTAATTTTTGATGGATCATTTATTGGCTGAATCAATAGGTTTTTCATGGATCATTTATTGGTTGAACCAATAGGAAGTTGTGTTTACAACAAGGGAAATTCTATAAAAGTTTTATTGAAATTTTTATCAAATGTCTCGTATAGGTGTAGAATCACACATCAACATACATGTGAGACATTTAGTAGAATTTTTAGAATTTCTAACATTATTACTTTTTTTGTAACAGTGTTTATCATATGTTTCTTGTTGGTTATCGGATCGGGTTTTGGACCCAGGTTTGGATGCTCAGGATGATATCATGACCCATGACCTATTAAATGACTGTGTTAGTTTGAATTTCAAACTATCTTATCCTGGAAATAAGAGTGAATTACCCATAATCTTATCTCCCAGAGAGATAGAGTTGTGAGTGGTTACATCTTTCTATAATAGTTTCCTGATACGTTTTAGGTATTATAGTGATATGGGTTTTAACCGTATAGTTTTTCTGAAAAAAGATTCTCTCTAGCTCTATGCCATGGGAGAACATGTGAAGAGTGTAGGTTCCACCGCTATAAATTATTCGAAGACATATATGCGATTCACTCACATGATTCATTAATTTGGTTTAAGTGTAAAAGGCATGTCCGAATCTGTTTATTTTCACTATGTACTATTTCTTATTTTTCCTACATTTCTTAATTACAATTTTTGAGATATTTAGTTATGATTTGTTAAGATTTAGTTATGAGTTAGTCCTACACATTGTGATATTAATTATAACTTGTTGTGATATTTGTTATGATATTATGAATATGATAAAAAAAACTCTTTGGATATAACTTATGTGATATTTCATTATAATTCCTATTTTTTATTTCTATTTTTTTAATTATGACTTATGTAAAATTGAACTATCAAATTTATGATAATCAAACTCACAAATATCATAACTTACATATATATTATTTTAAAATGTATAGTACAGCATTACCCATGCAATAAATTCACACTCTTAAATGAGAATAAACTTATCCCAATACGTAAAATCAGATTGGTTGTTGATTCACATATGACAAATGTAATCTCTATTTAAAAAGTAAATTTCACTATTTTACATAATTAGAAAAAGGCTTATTCCGTCATCGAACGGGAGGGTATTATTAGATCCATGAAGATTTATCACGAGTCCTGTTTTGATAATTTAAATTATTCAATATGTAAAACTCGTCGAGCATTATATGCATGTTAAAAATCACATTGATCGGATATCAATAGTTACGTGATCAAATCAGTTTTGTATAAAAAAATAACAATAAAAAAATAAACAGTTGATAGAAATCTGATCCGATGAGATAGTTATTGATACTTAATTAACATAATTTTTTACAAATATATAATACTCAATGAATTTTACACATTAAATAATTTATATTATTAAAACGAAATCTATAATAGGGGTTGTTTGGGATATTCTATGTAAGTGTACTTTTTGACTTTTTATGAAATATAGGTTGGGTTTGAAGTGATGTGATAAAGAGATGATGTGACTTAAATAAAATGATGTGATTTAAATAGGATAGTAATTTTTTGACTTTTTAATTTTTTTTTAAGAGAGGTGAAATCTAACCTAAATCTCTACAAATCTAATAATATTCTTTAATCTCATTACGAATCAGAGAAAAACTCAGTCATTAAGGCCAAGTTTGGCAACTCAAAAATAATCAATGTTTTTATCTTTTTATCTTTTTTTCATTACATCACCTCTCTATTTTTCTACACATCTTTTTATAAAAAGATAAAAAATATATTTATTTAAATTATGCCAAACAACCCCTAAGAAATGTGTCACACACTTCTGTTGAATGTGTGGACAAAATCAAACATATTTTAGGTAGTTGAATTGGTGATGATACCGTTCTCCGACAAGAATAATCTCCTGCACGCCTCACATCACTATCACTATTCTAGATGGTGCAAGATCCAAAATAAATTAACGGTCTACATTCAATACAAATATAGGTCATTTTCCCATATTTTATTATAACAATGATAGATACCACTAATTTTGGAGCTCTAAAAAGACCACTAATGACATGATACTCAATAAAAAATAAAAAAAATACAACACCAAGACCAAAACATTAAATCATTCATGGTGGGGCCTACTGCCACATCATTAATGGTAGCACTAATTAGTGCTCCCACTCATTTTCCATTTTATTAAGGGAAAATTATAAATCATTATAAGTTTGAAATTTTTTTATAAATCTTATTATGAATATGTGATTATTTTTAAAAATATCTCTGATTTGTAATTTTTTTTTCTATTAATTTTTAATTTACACTATACATTTCCCTTCTAATGTAAATTTTAAAATAAACTTTTACAATTTTTAATATATTTTAGAATAAATTATACTGATTTTTCTTAAAATTTATAACAATAACAGAAGAGGTTTCTGAAATTGCAATCACCTTCTTGTCAAAATCATTATCATTCACCGCTAAGTTTTCACGTGGCATTGACTTTTTAACTCATTTTTTTTGCGTTAGAACTTTTTTAGTTTCGTTTGGTACAATTATTTTGATTTTTTTAACTTTTATAAGAGAAAAAAATATAATGATTATGATTTGAATGCGATATTTTATCTTATTAATTTATATAATTAATTTTATCTTTTTTTTTGTATTTTTTAACCAAAAATAAAATCAAATGAAACTTAAGAACCTCCACACAGTGGAAGTGTTAACTCTTCTACTGCGTCAGAAGTTAAATATTTAACTAGTTTCTTAATATTTTGTTACATAATGGAACTAAGAATAGTGCTAAGACTAATTTTTTGTGCCAGAAATTAAGAAGAATTAAATTTTCGACTTTGGAATTTTCTATTGTTAATGTAATAACTCGACCCTCGTTTAAGTTTTCTGATATATTTTCAGTTCTTGTTCTAGGCTGTTGAATGCTTATCCATATCAAGATAAGATTTACACAATTGCTACATCATTAGTGCAACTCTAGAGCTCTTTGTCACAGCTTTAGTTGTTTTTAAGTTATCCGTACGACACTTAGACAATCTCAAGTCTCACTTGATAATGCTAAGTCAATCTAACTCACAAACTTGTAAGAAGACAAGTAAAAAGACAAAAAGAGTTTGAGAAAATGCCTTGTTTATACTTTGAGAAAGCTTACAACTCTTAGATGAATTGGAGCAAATGAACTCCTCTCTTATTTATAGGCTCTCTAGGAGGATTCTAGATTTCTCAAGAAAACTTCATGTAGAAGCTTCCCATGGAAGCCTTCTTTACAAGCCTTCTAGAACTATCTATACAAATATCTAATTATATGTACAAGTGTATAGGTTCTTGAATTCCCTAGATACTTCTAGAATTTTTCATAGTCTTCAT